GGGCTGCGCTGCAGTGTGGGCAACATTATAAGAATTTATTTGTTGAATAATTTCTCTTGTAGACAAATTTTAACACTATATAAATCGGAGATATACCCGAGATGGATGGACAACAAGACATTGCACAAAAGCAATATACTCATTTCACTTTCGTTAATGAGTATAAAAATAAACATGAACACTGAATTAAGAAACATTCTTGTCAATTTTTAAGTAGAATTTTTAGTACTCCTGTTGTTTTTCCTTATCTTTTGCTCTCTTTATCTGCTATCCAAAAGCAAAATATTAAAGAACGTGCTACTGTGTGAAAATAAAACCATTGATTGAATCAGAGTGTTATTTAAGGACGAACGAAACAATAAAGCAGAAAAAGCCAAGTGTTGCGTTTGCCTTAGAGCTTGACAAATTACACAAATCAAAAAATGAGAAATGAAGGACGGTCTGCAATACTGGTAACTACCACCAGTTACCCGTGCAAACTGCTTGGGCGAGAATAACCAGCTCAATCAGATAATTTGCAGGTATCTGGTTACATGGGATGTAGCTTGGAGGGCTGCACCAACATCTGTCGATTCGAAGTACATTTAACTCAATTATATAATTTAATAATAATAAAATCGTTTTGTCGTGACAACGATACGGAGTATATATACAAAGGGCACTAAACCTAAATATATAATAGTATATAGTATATGTCTTTAACACTTTACAGGTGCTTTTATGTCGAGATATTATTGCTTAGATACCCCGTTTTCAATTAAAAGCGCTAATGCCACCTTCAGCAGTTATGGGTACTGAGTCATTCAATGATAGCTTATTTTCTATATCCCATAAATTGTCACTGCTTATAGTTTTTTGTAATACATAAGTTTTATTGGTTTCTTTTGATTTCTTTGATGAAACCAAATCAGCATGTAGCAATATGAGCTTTGAATTATTGCTCTCTGAGGCAAGTTCAGAAGCTAATTTCCTCTTTAATCGGGGTCCTGCTTCGTTATAGCTTAAGGTCTTCCGACCCCCCATATTCATATTGTTGCCGTGGCAGTGTATCGTAGGCTTTACACTAGATGCTAGCCCAGGCGTATGTTTTTGCTTAAATCAATTCAGATGACGATTACATTTGCGCAAATTATATTTAATAAATAATCTAAAATTTTAGACTTTTTGCATAATAATGTCCAGTTGCACATAAGATATATTTTCGCTGTTTACATTTTCCAATATAAAATTTCTGACAGCGCTTTCTTGCCTATTGTAGCTGTTCCAAACTCACGTATGACGCACGTAATTGGAGCAAAAAAGAGCAAAAACCCTTTATAGTATTTGATTAAGAAACGTTTAGTAAATACCTTGCCACTTAAACATTTCACAACGGACTCTAACATTATAAGTTATCTTCCACGAAACACACAAATATTTTTAAGGTTACGGCTGAAAATTCAATTAGCAACACATTGGAGTATTTCACACTAAATCAAGAGGCACAGAAAATCTTTTGAAACATATAATTTAGCATACTTTTGGACAAACTTTCCGTAATTAAACTTTTTCGTAAATATCAATTGCAATGGTCTTTTTTTACGCCGAAAGATGTGAATTATTTCTCACACTTTTTGCAATTCACAATGCAATCCTGAATCAGCTGACTTCGACAAAGCTGAAAACATTACAGGCAGTCTCCAAAATATTATAATTTTTTTTTACGTGTATTGGAATCTCTTAAATGAGATTAAAAAAAAAAAATGCGGATTTGAGATTTAAAAAAATTAGGTTTATGCCGCACTATCAGTATTTTTGCCCATAGTTCAGTGGCTCACAGCTTATTTCGTGCAGCGGTATAGTACAATTTTAAAGCCGTAAGAGCTAGAGACTTGATTTCTTAAATGCCTGKATATACAGCGTGAATATCGAGTTTTTCTTCATAAATCGATAAGTACTCCCGTAATTTTTTTATCGATTAAAAATTAAAAATCAGTTATATAATTACATCTCCTACATCTTTAAAGCCAGAGTCTCCCAATTTAATACTATGTAGATTCCATGTGTATTTTATAGAATTTCGATATTGTATAGTTATAAAATATAGTTAGTTATAATTTACCTCCCACCCCAATATGAACCCCCTCATTCCAATATTCATAAAAGGCGAATTTCAAACTCTAAACATTGTGCTTTGGCAAATGCACGCGTGTCATTGGTATAATCACTGTCTGAAAGTTTCATGAAGATAGTCTATCCAGGGCCAAACGACTCAGCTCGTCACCCTGATCAAGAATATATATGTATATACTTTGTGGGGTTAGCCACGCCTCCTTCTGCCTAATACATACATTTCAAACATACGTTGCAGTCGGGCGTTACCGACTGCGGAATACTCATTCACACCCCATTAGCAATTTAGTACCTAAGTTTCACTCTAATACTGTAGAAAATGCCGTTTTTTCCCGATTTGCCACGCTCCTACTGGGCGTAGAACCCTCATTTTTGGTCAGTTCTTAGAACTAGATAACGGTACCCTACCTGCAAAGTTTGAATGCTTACCCCCAAAAAATGTTAAAATTGCAGGATATTTTTCGATATGCCACGCCCCTAAAGAGGCGTAAAAACTATTTTTAGGTGATCGATAGGGGAGGTTACTGGTAACTTAACTATCTAAATCTGAAGCTTCTAGCTATTATACTTTAGGAGATATAAACTTTTGCAGTTTGCCACGCCCCTGTGGGCGGACATATATTTGACAAAGCTTTTTGGTCTTGGGTGAACAGCCCGAGTATATATAGGTCTCTAGCATCAATAGTGTCCAAAATATTGCCATGCCTCTAATGGCCGTAGACTTATAATTTTGTCTTTTAACTTAATAGAATCATAACATTAACTGACGTGCAAAATTTTCGGCGCTCTAGCTGTACAACTCTTGGAGATACAGTTTTATCCGATTTGCTCGTGATCTTGGGTGGTCGATTCGGATCTATATTCCAAATTTCAGCTTTCTAGCTCTTCAATAATATGATTTCTGGCATATCGGAAAATGCATTTTCCGATTTGCCACACCCCTAGTGGGCGGATCGGGAACACTTAACACTTTATAAATCCAAGATATACACGAGTATGTGTTCCAAATTTCAAGTCTCTAGGTTCAATAGCGCCGAAATAGATTGCGTTCATACGGACAGACGGACGGACTTTGCACAAAACCAATATACTAATTTACTTTCGTGATTCACAATAATGTCATTCTCACATTCTGATAATTAGGGCACGAAAACGAAGTAAAATTATCGATTATTCTAGATAATAAGTAAATTTCCATTGGTTCATGGTTAATAAGCTGTAACCTGATAAATTCATTTAATTGTTTTTATACCCTGAACCCATTTTCAATCGGAAATCAGGGTATAATGGTTTTGTTGATATGTATGTAACAGGCAGAAGGAGGCGTGGCAGACCCCACAAAGTATATATATTCTTGATCAGGGCGACGAGCTGAGTTGATTTGGCCCTGTCCGTCTGTCTGTCCGTATGTATGAACGCGTCGATTTCAGAAGATATAAGAGCTAGAGACTTCAAATTTTTTTTNCAATCGCGCGTGATTACCCATACAAACGCAACTTACCGTTACTTCATTTAACTCAAGCAAACGATCAGTGTTTGACTTGAGGAAACGAAAACAGAAATAACTGTCTCCCTCAGAGCGCGAGCGAGCTAAGCCAGACGCGACAAAAACAGTTTCTGTCTGAGTTTTTTTGACTGTCAGTGAAAGACACTTTTTTGCAGACAACGAAAAAGTGTTAACAGTTATTTGCGAGCTATGGCGATAACCGAAAAAATTAGTGGATTCGAAAACAAAACAAGATTAGGTTTATGCCAGACTATCGGTATTTTTGCCCATAATGCGTTTAAATTTTTTGGATATTTTCAATAGTTTAGATTTTATAGACCAACAAACTTCTTTTGTGGTGTTGGTTGAAATAAGCTGTGAACCACTTTACATACATATGTTTGTTAGTCTACTATATAAAGATTGTGAAGCCGATGTATACGGTGGCATATATGCTTTTGGCTACATCGACGTACTCCCTGATCAAGAATGTATACTCATGGGAACAATCCATCTCGGATTTTCTGTTCTCATTGATTCACGGGTTAACTTACCTCTAAAATATGTTCTGCTTGATTCTCTCTGTCAAGTTTACGTTCTGTAGTTCTTAGAATTCCTAAATATTTTTAAATTTAATATTACTTATAATTATATTAAGTATATCATTGCCTATTTTACTTACCTGTGTGTGGTTCTATGGAGAAATACCCAATCAGATTTCCAGATGTAATACTGTAGGTAATTGTTTGTGAAGGATCAATGTCGGGATCTGTTGCTTTGAGATGAATAATTTCATGTTTTCCAGAGCTACCTTCTGTGACATTTACGTAATAGACTGGTTTGGTTGTCAATGGAATGTTATCATTTTCATTTTTAACATCGATATAAACCTGTAGGGTATTTGTTATTAGCAACATATACATATTTTACATTACGTGCCAATGCTTACCATAACACAATTTGTTAAAGGCACGATAGCATTATCCTGAGCGCATAGTGTCAACCAGTAAAAACTCTTGGTTTCTGCATCCAGTTGGGTTAGAGACTGAATAGATCCTAAGGCAGAAATTAATTTAATTAATTGATAATAATAAGATTTGTTACTTCTTACCTTGTTTATTAACAGAAAAAATACCTAGCCCGTCACCACCAGTGATAGAATATGATATTTTAGAATTAATATCCATTGAGTCCATGTCCCGCGCGGTAACATTCATGACTAAAGTGCCCTTTGGCATATTCTCTTGTATTTTTCCCTCATAAATGAAATCGTCAAATTCCGGGGCATATCGATTTTCATTTACATCAATTATTTCAAATATGACGGGCATATCAACTGTTAATGATGGGACTCCACAGTCTATTGCGCTTACAACAAGGTTGTGTACCTGACGATTTTCATAATTTAAATAACCTTCTGTGCGTATAGCGCCAGTGTGTTTATCAATTTTAAAAAGATTTTGCTCTTGTGCATCATCTTTAAGTGAGAAAAGAATTTCTGCACTTTTTCCCATATCTTTGTCAAAGGCTTCAATAACAGCAACGACAGTTCCTCTGGGTACATCTTCGCGAACTTTGAAAATATAATCTTGTACTCCGAAAATTGGTGCATTGTCATTAACATCATCAACTAAGACATATACCACGGCTTCTGATGATAATGTAGGATATCCTAAATCTTTTGCAATAATATGTAACTCATATTTATCGTTCTGCTCTCTATCTAAGAATTCATTAAGAACAATGCATCCACTTGTTTTGTTAATAATAAATTCTTTGAACTCGATAAATAGGGTATAAATGATTTCTGCATTGATACCCAAGTCTGCGTCTGTTGCATGTAGACAATATACTATAGTACCTATTGGCGCATTTTCCGCAAGACGAAGTGTAGCTAACGATTTTTGTAAAATCGGAGGATTATCGTTTGCATCTGTTATTGTTATAGGAAGAATTTTTGAATCTGATTTCGTCGGCTGACCCAAATCATAGACTGTCAGGTTTAAAATATATTCACTTAACCTTTCCCTATCCAGATATCCAATAATTTGTAGTTCTCCACTATCAGGATCGATGCGAAACACTGAATCGTAGTCACCATCTGCAATTGCAAATACGAGCTTTCCATTATAGCCCAAGTCTCGGTCTCTTGCCTCGATTACAGCTACCGTTGTCCCCAATTGTATACTTTCATTTAAGGTGAGCTCTTGAGGAAAATTTACAAATTCAGGTCTATGGATGTTTTGACCATACCGACTAGGCGTTAGTGCCAAATCGTTAACTTCAAAAGATGATACATTCTTAACATTGTTTTTCTCGGCCAATGCTAATGTTTCTGCCAGTCTTCTAGCTACACCAGTTTCTCGACACTCAAACGTTCCGTAGCCATGTAAACTATTGCTAAGATCTCTGGCGAAATCATCATCAAGATTTACATTGATAGTCAGCTCATCGGAAAAATGAGTGCCATCTGTGGCAGATACTTTAAGCACTCTTTCATTTACAGCAACATCCATCAAATTGCAACCAATAGATATTGTTCCAGTATTTGAATCTAAGTTAAAGCAACCATCTTCATTTCCAGATATGGACCGATATGATATTACATCGCCCACATCGAGATCAACTGCAGAAATGGTAAATACTTCAGAGCCAATCGGTGCCGATTTAAATACTTTTCCGTGACAATTAACACGCTCGAATTGGGGCCTATTATCATTGATATTTCTTACAATAATATCTAAGGCAATTTCGGTTTGCCTTCTGTACGGTAGTCCCCAATCTGACGCACGCACAAGCAGTGTATAGTTTCTTTGCATTGTTTCATAATCAATTAGATTTGTTGTCTTGATAACTCCAGAAAAGTGGTCAATTTCAAATGGAACTTCATTTAGATTTGCTATACTATAAGATATGTATGCATTTTCACCAGAATCCTTGTCTTTCGCTATGAGCTTTACCACAAAAAGGCCGGCTAATTCATTTTCACTTATTTCAATGGTGCTATTAATGTTTTCAAATATTGGATCATTATCATTCATATCATCAATAGTAATTTTTACTTTAGCAGATGATTGTTTTCGAGACCCAACATCCGCTTGATCAATGGCAGATACGGTTAATGTGTAACTCGATTTTTTCTCGGCATCAAGGTGCTTTTGTGTATATAACATTCCCGAATCCGGATTTATTCTGAACTCTCCACCTTCGTTTCCACCAACCACTTCCAAGTACACCAACGCAAATTTCCCTAAATTGGGGTCGCTAACTTTTAGTCTAATAACTGGCATGTTAATCGGAGCCGTTTCTGGAATGGACACTTCATAAATTTCTTGTGTAAATATCGGAACATTTTTTATCTGCGGAATGATTTGTATCGTAACTGTTTTAAAAGTAAATTTAGATGGTCTTCCACAATCTTCCGCTCGAAATGTCAAGTTATAGGTGAAAATTTCATCATGTAACTTTGCGAATTTATTTAGTTCTATATAATATTCGTCTCTGGTCTCTGCGGGAATTAATTTAAATATGCCATCTGGATTTCCATCTAGTATTTCCAACTTTTTTATTTCTCCATTTTTTCCAATATCCTTATCATTTACTTTTATTATCCCATAAATAAGAGAATCCGAGTTAGGTATCACACTCGAAAACGTTTTTGCATAAATTTCGGGAGCGTTTAGATTGACCTTTAAAAAACGATATATTATTCTAATCTTTTTATTTATTTCTTTTATTTTTACTATTACTTTTTCGAATTACATGTACGAATGTACATGTATATATAGAAAATCGTTTTGGGATCTTATTTATTAAGTTTACCTTTTTTTGTTTAATTTTATTTGTTTTTATTTTATTGTTATGTTTTATTTTTATGTTTATACCATGAAATGGGAAATCAGGTCATAATGATTTTGTTGAAATGTACGTAACAGGCAGAAGGAGGCGTGGTAGATCCCACAAGGTATATATATTCCTGATTAGGGTGACGAGCTGAATCGATTTAGCCCTGCCCGTATGTCTGTCTGTCCGTCTGTCCGTATGCTTGTACGAGTCGATCTCAGAAGATATGACTAGACTTGAAATGAAATTTTAAAAAAAATCCGTATATATAACGCGCATATCATTTACCTCCAAAAATCTATAACTTATCCCGTTATTTTTTGTCGATTAAGAACCTTTTCCAAAATCAGTAATATATTTATGCCTACTACATCTTTGCAGCTAGAGTCGCCAATTTAAAATGTATGTTCAAATGTACTTTATAGAATTTTTATTTTTGTTATAATTCACCCCACCCTTAAATTTCAATTACAAGCAACTTGACCTACGGCTAATGCATGCAAATTAATGTAATAATCACGATCTGCAAGTTTCATGAAGATAGTCCATCCACAAGAAAATTTATTAAACAATTAAGTTCCTGTAGTTAGCCTACACTGCGTGCGTATATGTCTGCTTTTTGTGTAAGCAGAATGACGGGGAGAATGATTGGAATACCCATTCTTTGAAGGGTTCAGGGGATTTCGTAGTTACTTGTTTAGCAATGACTTGCATATGCAAAGTATTCTTATGTTAACTCTTGAGATATCTATATATATACAAAAGAGATGTGTAAAAGTGCTCCTCTACTTATAACTCGAGATCTGCTGGACCAATTTTCATGGTTTTTGATTTGTTGGATTTGTCTCCGCTACGAATAGAATAGTAGATCTTAAAAATACTGAAAAAATTTGACGAAAAACGCGGTTTTTTCCCTACAGATTCAAATTTCCATTGATACTCAGTATGCTTGATAACAGTGACAGTTTTCGGTCCTGCTCTCATATTATACAATAGTATAGAAKTAAATAAACAAATGTAGTCAGTCAGTCTACGGCACAGCCTCAGGCGAACCTGACTATTCATAAAAAAAG